TAATATTTTTTTGGAACCTGTGATACTTTTTTCAGGATTCTTTGATGAACAAAAAGTTAAAAAGAACAGCATTATTCAAAATATAAATCTTTTCTAACAATATAAGTTGTTACCATCACGTTTTATTAATTTAATTCATCCTTGCTAAAAGAAATGATTAATTTCTTAAAAAAAAAATAAATAAATTACTGACCCCAAACATTTGAACAGTAGTGTATATTATTACAAAATGTTTATTTTTTAAATTAATGCTGTTCTTTTTTACTTTTTATTCATCGAGGAATCCTGAAAAAAGTATCACAGGTTCCAAAATAAATATTATTAAGCAGTAAAAACTGTTTCCAACATTGATAATAAATCAGCTTATTAGAATGATTTCTGAAGGATCATGTGACACTGAAGACTGGAGTAATGATGCTGAAAATTCAGCTTTGCATCACAGGAATAAATTATGTTTTAAAATATATTAAAATAGTAAACTGTTATTTTCAATTGCAATAATATTTCATAAAATTACTGTTTTTTCTGTATTTTTGATCAAATAAATGCAACTTTGGTGAGAAAAAGAGACTTCTTAAAAAACATAAAAAATCTTTCTGATCCCAATCTTTTGAATTGTAGTGTATACATATATGTGTGTGTGTGTGTATGTCTGTTTATTTATTTATATTTTACAATACATACTCCCCCCCTCTTTTTAACTATTTTATATAAACTAAAGTATATAAATACACTCGTTAAACAGGTTGTACTCCACTGTAATGTTTATATGTATTTTTCTATTTGACTGTAACTTTTCCATTACAATGTCAGACTTCCGGCAAATGAGATGTACATTATTTATGTCAACACTCAGTGCTCTTCAACATGTACACAATATGCCAAAGGTCTGCCCACCTCCTGGCACACACGGTATTGGTCGATGGCCCAGACAGTTGGCACGTGGGTGGCAAGCAGCTGGTACTGAGTAAGGGTGGTATTGCAGGCACGGGCACAGATCAGTCGGGTCTTGCCCACCGCGTTATCACCCACCACCACACACTTTATGGTCTCCACGTTAGGTCGCTCATAATCTGTGTCTATATCCATGGAGAGGGCCCTGAAAGACAGAGAAGGAGAGAGATCATTTCAGTGTTGATAATCATCATTGCATTGATGAAAAACATGACAAAACTCACTTTCCTAATAAATTTCCATTTATGTTTAACTTAGAATGAATAAAAAAAATAATAATAACAAGAGTTACAAAACATTCAATTCGGTCCATTCACTGTGGTGACTCAAATCAACGTCCACAATAATGAATGGCGTCATCAATACTCACTACTCATTCACCAAATGTTCAAAGTTTAAAGAAAAAGCAATTTCTGTCTGAGGAAGGAACAACAAAGACAGCCAACACAGTTCTGCACTTGGCTGTACAGCGTTTCAAAGTGTTCCGAGTTTCAAAGTCAATGTGAACAAGTGCATCTAGCGCATTTTTTGTTTTTTTGAAAGTCTCAGAAGAATCCACCTGAAGCTAACTCAATGTTGATTTGTATGAAAGAACACAGCTAAACCAGACAGCATTAATACACATGCTTTTCCCAGGATACTGAAACAAACAGCGTTAACACAAACACTCACATAAACACTGACTTAAAGTATCAAGACTGCAGCTCTCTGCAGAGAAAAGAAGAAAATAAAAACAACTCTGCTGAGGGATGCAGCTGAAACAAACCATTAGGAGACCCGCGTGCCAACACATATGACTTTAACTTAATATCCATGACAACTAGCAAGTTCTCTTTTAGGTTCAAACAAAAGCAAGCAATGTGAGATTGCTTTTTTCCCTAAAACAATAACAGATTTTTGTTGCGTAATGAATGTAGACATTTGTTCGACAAGCTGAACTGCCTTGCTTCAGAGTCACATAAATTTGAGCATGTGAAAACAAGAATAAATATTAATACACCACTATAATAAAAGAGGCCATATGAAATTAAATACAAATGATTTTGGGAACCGTAACTCCTCTGTGGCTTTAAAAGTGGATTGAATTACCCTTGGTAAATGCACTAAAAGTGTACTGAGCCGCACAAATCAATTAGCTTTCCTGGAAACAATAAAGAATTTCCTTGAATAAACACACAGGCAAAACCCTTGGCCAACTAAGAGCAGTGTATTCTTTTGATACAGCTATCTACATTACAAGCCGTCCTGAGCTCCGCTGTCCAAGTCAGCTAACGTTCCATAAAAAGAGTTCATGAAAGATTAATGGAGCCACTGTTTATTGTTCCACTGACAAAGACGTCACACAGTTCTGGCCTCCAAAGACATACTGGGGTCGAAAAATGATTCTCATTCATTCAATTCATTCTGAGTAGCAAGGTGCCAATTCTGACCAAGATTAGCAAACTCAAAAACTGCCCGTAATAGGTAAAGAGACGTTTTATCTAGAGCAGCGGTGCTCAGTTAATTCCTCGTGAGGGGAATGTAACAGCCAGCTTTGAGGTTTTGGATCAGTGAAGGAGGTTTCAGAGAAATGTTGTCAGTGGTAAGGGTGCTCTGGAGGAAGCTTCTTTCACAGGTTACATAACAATGGTGGCACAACGGGCTGATGAAGCTGAGCTGTAAATGTTACTACAGCTTTGTGTTACCTAACAGTAATCTTTATAACTGTTCTGTGAGAGTCATCAACATTTATAGAGGATGTTATAAAGGTGAAGATTATTATGACTGCATATTAAAAATGCTAAAATGATTAAAAACAAGTTAGCGGGGAGTCCTAACTCTAATTTTTAAAGAAACAGACTTGAGCATGTTTTCTCACCGTGCAAAAAGTAGGGTGGTGGGTACAGAGATGAGAGTGCAGACTTGTGCACAATGTTTCCACTATTTAACTCTATTTGAATATGTTTAAAAAAGCTACATTATCAACTTCTATACATTCAAGGGATATTTTATTGAAAAAAGACAATTCCGTCATCATTTACTCGTCGTCATGTCATTTCGAACTTCTATGATTCTTTGGAAAACAAATTTTAGATTTTTATAATTTTATAACAGTACCATTTAAAGGTTTGGGGTCAGTAAGATTTGCTTAAAAGAAATGAATACTTTTATTCAGCAACATTAAAGACATTTATAATGTTACCACAGATTTCTATTTCAAATAAATGGTTATCTTGAACAAAGAATTCTGAAAAAAATGAATCACGTATCATTTCCACAAAAATATTAAGCAGCACAAATATTTTCAACACTGATAATAAGAAATGTTCCCTTTCAGTCAGTCACGTTCGACGTTACGTCAGTCGTGACTGACAAATTGGGATATCGCTTCGATAGACCAATCACCTTCGAGTGTTAACTAAACAAGCCAATGACAGTTGGCGTGCGTGTTTCGCCACGCGCATCCCGCCCCGCAGCGCGGGTATAAAAGGAGAGCGCGTGCAAACGCACATCAGCTTTTCGCTTCAGAGCCGAGCCTTCTAGTAAGCAAATCTCCGCGAGTGTTTTGAAGAAACAGCTGGCGTTGGTGTGACGGCGTATCAGCGGGGGTTGCCATCCAGGCTGCTGAAACCTCGGCGAGCTGCAGCTGTCATTCTGCGGTCCCGCCGCGACCTCCCCTGGGCGCTTCAGCGCTCTCTCTGAGAGTGTTTTTTCCTTTCTAAAAGAGCAAATTCTAAAAGAGCTCCACGAGCGACGGGCGTCTTTTTAAAGATGGCTTCCCGCTCGTGCGTTTCTGGATGTGGTCGTTTCCTGGCTTCATCTGACGGTCACGATCGCTGTGTCTCGTGCTTGGGCTTTCAGCACGCTGAGGCAGCGCTCGTGGATGAGTCATGTTCTCATTGCGGGAACATGACCATCGCGATGTTGCGGTCCAGATACCTCCTCTAACATTCTATGCTTTTGAATTTTCTATTCATCAAAGATGTATCACAGTTTCTACTACTGTTTTCATCATTGATAATAAGAAGAAATATTTCTTGAGCACCAAATTAGCATATTATAATGATTTCTGAAGGATCATGTGACACTGAAGACTGGAGTAATTCAACTTTGCATCACAGGAATAAATTACGTTTGAAAATACATTTATTATTTTAAGTCAAGTCAAGTCAAGTCTGCTTTATTGTCAATTCTTCCACATGTACAGCACATACA